TGTCACTACAAGTCTGAAGAATTGTTTACCAGATCCTATACCTGGTTTGAGACAATCTGTAGTCAATAACCTATAAAAATTCACTTTCGCAGTCAGCTGAGGTGAACTTTAACTCATTTGACTTGTGTGGATTTGTCTGGCATCTCTTTAAGTGACGTGTGGAAATGCTACTCATTGAGTGAGTTCTTGTCGCCCTAAATGCCTGTTCCTCACTTCCTAGAAGTGCCATATGAGCAGGCAGCATTTTGGGACAAGCAGGGATGGCTGAGATGTTTCCAAGTCCTGCTGTGCTCCAGCACAGGTCAGTGAGGTGACTCAGGTGCTGCTGGGACCCTCCTGGTCTGCACAGGACGAGCTACAGTGGCCACAGCAGCCGCGATACAGGGCGTGTTGCTTGGGCAGAGAGTAGTTCTTACTTTCACCACTGCAAAACCTCATTGTCTGCAGTGGTTAGAGGCTGGAAACGTGGGAACATAGTTTTTGGAAAGCTCATCCTGCAAGGGCTGCCTGCTGCGTTTCAGTGGTGGAGGTTGTACATGTAGTGGAATAAGCAAAATTGTTTGCACTGCACTATTAACTGGAGAAGTCTGTTATTTCCACTGACTTCCTCTGCAGTTGCAGACCCCATGCCAAAACACACTCATGCACCAGAGCACAGTATGCTGTGCAGCACGGCAGAGCATCACAGGGCTCGGGAGGGAGTGCAGGCACAGAACTGCAGGCTGGAAAAGGCTTTTGTGTGAATGAGAGAGACACAGAGCCTGAATAGGGGGAAGAACAATTTATTCACATCTTTCTCAACTCATTCTTTGCTCTGATTTTTCCTGTGGGAGGGTGGCACCTGGTAGACTAGGAATTTTCAAAAAATAACAGGGATTTCATATATCTGTTTGTGAGCACACCTGGATGCGTTGGATATTTTGCAGTAGTAATTATGTCTGCACACCTGCTGGTTTCAGTCCCAAATCAGTTTGCCAGACATGCCTAGAGAGATTTATTTCTTCTATACCTGAAAAAGCTCTTTTACCACTGAGTTTTTACTACTCTAAATAAGCCTAAAGAAAGAAAAAAGAAGAGGATTTTTTCTTGTCTTTGCTTGAGCCATTGGTATCTACAAACTGTGGCGTTTGCATGGGGGAGGAGGGTGTTTGGATGATATTTTAATAGCAATTTGTTTTTGCTTCAATGTGTGATAGAAATACAAGTGACAGGAGTGGGAACAGGAGAGTTGCTGAATTCTGCTGGAATTTTTCCTGTGGGAATCTGTTAATGTTTTTAATTCTCTGAGAGATTTTTCTAAGGTAATCCTTTTGACATTTACATATTTTAAATGACTCTCATTAAATAAAAGCTTAACTTTTTTATATCAAATGCTGAAGTGATGAGACTGGAATACCACTGCATAGAAATTCCAATGGTTTGAGGATTATTCTAATTGCAACCTAAGCAGAGTAAGATTTGTGAGGGATATTAATAGTGAATTGTTCTTTAAAATAATGTCATTTTGAAGGCAATTTAATTGCTCTGGCGTTTAATACTTTTTGGGTTTTGTCTAAAACCTTTTGGGTTTTGTCTAAACCTAATGTGTGGTGCACTTAGCCTTTTGCTAATTGAAGCCCCAGTTTGAACAGCTGTGGGTTCCACTCCTCACTCGCACAGCAAATGGAACCTCTGCAGGAGCCCAAGGGTTTGCAGTGCACCTTGTGGAAAATACTTGACACTGCCTGTATCATGTCAGCGTGTGGCTCAGCCCCTGAAGGAGGTTGCTGTTACCAGCACGGGGAAGGCTGGAAGAAATAAGTGGAACATCAGAACATCTTTTAAAAAACAAGAACTGCATGGTGAGGTGTTGCATCTCTTGCAGGTGATACCCTCTTGCAAGCAAAATGGTTCATGCAGTCGTGTCTTTTAACTCCTTTCACAGGAGGCAGAAGTCACAGCATGAGGACATCTCAGGGACAGACAGGGAGTGTAGCCCTGAGATTCTTTTAAATGAACTTTCTTCCATAGGTTGCACTTTGCTCGTTCAAGCCCTTGAGCCAGATTTTGCTCTCAGACCAGACTAATACTAAGCAAATTTGTTTAATTAAATTTGCTGCAGATATCCCCAGTTAACAAGAACAGATTGGTCTCCCTGAGGCTAGATGGAGTTAACAAGAAAATAAATGTTGTGCTAATTAGAGAACTCATTTTCAGACACCTGGGGTGAAACTTTAAAAAGTCCTAGAGATGCAGGATTGAAAATTCATTTGGAAATGAGTCTTAGGCTTCTAAATCACTTAGGCACTTTTTCAAAAATTTACCCAGAGGCTTTAACCATCTCACAGTCATCATATTTAGCATGTTTGTAGCTGTCTGCTTAGCAAAGCACAGTATAACCATTATGTATTTGTATCAGCAGACCACGGTGTGTTTCATTATCCCTGTAAGGCAGAGACTGAGCTACCTGGTGAGCTGAAGGTGAGCTAAATGTAATTTTTCTTGAGGATGTTTATGTGTCAACAGAACACACTGATGCTCTTGTGGAGTCGTTAAAACACCGTTGCACCAAATTTCCATCTATTTGCAACCTTGTGGGAGTTCCTGTAGGTACTTAAGAACTTTTAATTAAATCTTGGTCTTAAGTGACTTGTCCAAGATCGTGGATAAAGAAGACAGCACAGATGGAATTTTACAGTTCAGTGCTTACTGGAAGGAAAGTGAGACACTTTAATACTGTCCCACTGCTATTCATATGTTGAATCATGATAGGAAGTAAGAACGAGTCATCCGCTCAATAAAAATTAGTTCCAAAATTAAGCCAAATTTCCAAATTCACATACATGATTAGGAGAAAAGCTTGGAAAGATCCAGGCTCCAAGGTGCAAAAAGCCCCTTCATTTGCTTACAGCTCAGTATGTTTTCCAGTAGTTGTTTTTCTCCCTGTAACCAGTCTGAGGATTTTTCTGAAATATCATCCTTGTAAAGACATGCATTAGTAGCGTCTGTTTCATGCCAGGTAAAACCCTTCCCACAGCCACGCACACACTTGCTGTCTGTCAGCAAAAACTTCTGTGTCAGTAATTAGAAAAATGCTATTAAAAACCTGCCTTGTAATCCCAGATAGCCTCTGGGTTGACTCACTTCTATTTTGTCTTCCTTGCTCAGTGATGTACGCCAGGATTGCTCCACCGTGAAGAGAGACCCTTCTCCTCTGACAAGCCCCTAGCTACTCTGTTATTTATGTGGTCCTACAAAGTGTGGTTTTGAGGACACCAGCATACAGCTGTGGTGCCCCAAAGAGGTGACCTTTGGTGACAAAAGCCTTAGTCTAGCAGGTTTATAACACAGTGAGGCATGTTGCAGATGGGCACTTGGGAGCTGGATCTCACCATGGGGGCGAACCTGTACAGCGTGTAATCATCTGGAAATTTACTCCAGCCTGTCATGAGTCTGGAACATCCGACAACATCATAAAACAGATGACTCAGGGCCCTAAAACACGGAGGGTATCCACTGAGCTCATTATTTTCATACCTAATTACACAGTGCTATTGAGAGAGAACTGCGCATTACGCTGAAAACTCCTGTTTCATCACTAGTCCTAAAAGATAATTGCGTTTAATGAGGACCTATAGATACCATGGTGATTACTGATCTATAAACACTCAAGGCAGACCTGCAAATGAGGTGCAATAGCAAGTGCATCCATTAAACACAATTCAAGAGCTGATACTGAGGTGAGATGACAGTGGAAAGTTGAGCTGTTTCACCATGCAAAAACATTTCATAGGTCTAGCACTCTGTTCTGATTCTCTGCAGTCCCTCTGCTGTGAACCAGCAGACAAACACCTGCTGATCTTCCCTTACTGAATTTAGAAAACTTTTTGTTTAATCTGGGGTAACATATGCATGGAAAAGTGATGAGAGTTGACATCTGTAGTGGCAAAAGCTGCCGTCTTCTGTGTGAGGTCAGGTCAGAAGGGAAGAAGCAGATGTACAAGCAGGGCTAGTAATGCCACAGATAAAGCAGTAGACCCTTTTCATGGCCATTTTTCAATGAATTGCAAATTGTTCTTCCAGTCAAAGCTGCTGGTCACCTTATCCCAGCACAGGTCTCAAAGGGCATTTGTAGCAAGTCAGAACACAAGTTGTGCTCATCCTCCAGTGCCTGTGCACAGCTGCCTGTGGAGGTGTTAGTGTGGATGGAAATGGCTGTGAAGGTGCTGGAGCAGTGAGTGCCAGCTGGAATCGCACCGACTGTCCCTGGGAGACTGTAAAGAGTTGTCCTTTGCCTTTGCCACATGAGACAGGGCAGTCTGTTCCCTGTATACCCATCCTGTGCTGTGCTGGTCTAGGCCACCTTTGAACCATGACATGAAGCTGAAAGCATCTGTCTCTATTGAACCTTTTGGGAATACAAACCCCTTGGAATAGAATGTTTAACACAGCAGTCACAAAGTTGGTGTGAAATACTGCATTTCTTTTTTCAAGTAACTGTGCTTGGAATCAAAAAAGCGAACACTTTGGAGTAATGGGATTCTTGTGTAGAAATGATCGTAACTCCAGTCTCATCTGAAACTGTTCAGTTGGTATGTTCATTGCAATGCTCTGCTGGAAATGGCTGTGTGGAAAGTCAGAAGTATTTTTATGGGGAGGAAGGGGAAAGACTTAGCCAAGGGGCTAAGTGGAATGATAAATTGTTTGCCCACTGAAATTATGGGTATCCAATTTCGTGTGTTTTGTAGCTCTTCGTTTTTGCAGCAGGGAGAGCAGCTGAGCGATTCGGTATTTCCAAGTGTGCGAGAGGTGTGTGCGTGTGCCTGACTCAGCACCTTGCTGGAGGAGGAATGCAGCAAAGAGAGTCTGACACCTGCTTCATCAGTTGGTGTTAAGAGGAAATCCTTTACTCTGAACAGTATGGCAAATAGAAATAACATTCAAGAAGGAAAATTCAAAGAGGAAAGTGATAGGAAAAGCAAATGTCCTGCTCAGAATATAAAGCTGTCGTTTCACTTTAGGCTGCCTTACCCTCTGTGGCATCTGTGCCTTCTTCTCGTCCCCCAGTTCATTGCTTGAATGGCTCTGCCGCCTCCAGATCCACAGTTTGTGCTCAGAGGTACCAGTGCTGCAGTCCACACTCTGCATTTTTCCTGTGGAGGCCAAGAACCTGATGTTCCTGTCCTTTTCTCTGGGTGAGTAAACCAGGAATTCTGGCTGCACTGAGCATCATATGATCATTTCCTTTTGAAATAAAGTGTATTATTTAAACAAAGTGCATCTGGAGAAAACAGCACCATGCATAGCTGTGAATGATGAATGTGTTATCTTTGTGCATACAGTTTCAGGGGAAGAAAAGGAAAAGCATTAGACTGATCAGGCTGCATGCAGTGGTCACGCTAAAAGCATCTGTTCCTCCTGCCAGGTCTGAGAACGGGTTTATCCATGTCTGGAACCTGAAAACACACAGAGTGGACACAGCACTGGATGGCCATGGAAGAAAATCTGTCTACTGCGTGGAGACAATGGGTGGTAAAGACAGGCTCCTCAGGTGAGCAAAGCAGGCAAAAAGCAGTGAAATTATTCTTGTCTTTGTGATGTACATGATTGAAGGGAAAAAAAAAGGGGGGAAGGGAGTCTCAATTCTGGAGTCACTGAAAGTCTCCCAACACATATGGAAATGTACTGAAGTACAAAAATACAGAAAGCTCTAGAATAGAAAGTGGTGACAAAATAATTTTTTTATTATGTGTATGTTATGACATCACAAAAAATTAGGATCCGTAGTGTCTTTATTACTGCACTGAGATCAGGTGAGGTCTTTGGGTAAAGAAATACACTTGGATTTGGAGTTGACAAATGTTTCACAACTGGTTCTCAGGAAAGATTGATATAAAGAGTTTACAATTAGAGGGGGGAGGGAGCAAAGGTAAGGGCAGAAGAGAAGAATTAGAGATGGAAAGTGGAAGGCTTAAAATGAGCAAGAATGCTGAGTTTCATGCCTTTGTTTTGTTGCAAAATCTCTTCTTGTTTAGCAAGGGAAGGTCGGGAAGATTTGTGTACTTTGGATTAGACAGGTGATCTAGAGTAGATGCCAAAGTGTCTGTATGATTAGGAGGTGTTCTGACATGTTTATCTAAAGAAGACATCTCATAATATACAGTGGAACTCATTAGCATTTATATTTCTTATCTGCTTAAGTACAATTATCAACACTCTCCCCCATAAAATCACATTGAATGAGCATTGTGTGTATAATTAAAGAGGTTTTCCATACCTCTATTTTTGCTGTATGGTTATAACAGTACACATAGCAGTACAATTGTGAGACAGCAATTGCCTGTATTTTATATTTCTCTCTTCTAAAGCTAAATCGCAATAATTTCCTGCAGTACCACATTGTTCATATGCTCAGCACTGTAAATGTTGTGACAATTTGTCACTCAGCTGAACAACAGGTGGGAGTTTCTGTATTGATGTTGCAGAAGTCCTAACAGTCTGTAGATTTACATCTGCTCTGTTTTGGTTTCATACTTCCATCAGGTGATATCACTCATTAAATTAAGACATAGATAAGGGATTGTTGATGACTCCTTGGCCCAGGTGATAACATGAGGACATACATCCCGTGCTACTGTAGTTTATAGACTGGAAGCTTCTCCACAGTGGTACTTTGTTCCAGAGCTAGTGAGATCATGTAAGTCTGCAGGAATTGTTGCTGTGCCCTTTGTCTGGCCTGGGAGCAGCACACAGGCTCTGTGGGATAGAGGGGTGTGTGGAGGAGTCCACGGGAGCTGCACTCATACATCAGTGATGCAGCACTGGTGCTCTGGGTTTGGGTGTTCTACCCACAGTGTTTCACTGTTCAGTTGCTGCCAGTCCCTCCGTGGTTGTGTCTCCACACATGCACAGTTGTAACAGAACTCTGTGCCCTCCCTGTGGCTGTGGGAAGTTGACCACTGAATAACTGTAGCTTTTTACTTCTCTCTGATGCAGTGTTTGTTGTCTTCCTATTTTTTTATCTTTCCTCTGTCAACACATGACATTTCCATTTCTTTGCTAGGGTGAGTCAGTGTTACATGTGTGACTCTCTGGATACTTTTGTTTGCTTTTAAATTAGATCTAATTAATGGTAAAATGTAAGTATTTTTATTGTGAATATGTTCAAATGCTCACGAGACTTTATATTCACACACATAAACAGCAAAACTGGACTTGATCGTATCCCTCTGCAAAGAAACAGATACACTGTGACTGCAGTGTATATGACTGGCTCTCAGGCCCTCCCTCTTCCTGGTAATGTTTGACCCCCTTGGCCAGTTTCACAGTTGGCAGGAGGGTGATGGTCTTGGGGTCACTTTCCCCCACATTGAATGAAACACCTAATAACACCCCACAGCAGCTGTACTAAGCTCGGTCCATTGCTGCCTGTTAAAGACCCTGCAGACAGCTGAGCTTCCTCAGATCTGCAGCTCATGGATAACTTGTTTTACTGTAACAGTCAGGGTCGCGACCAGAGGATCTGCCTGTGGGATTTGGCAGAGGGACGGACTTCAGTGATGGATTCTCTCTTCACGGAGCACGTTGGATTCTGCAGATGCTCTTTGTTGAAGGTGGCACCGGGACGCTGGCTGATGGCCACGGCAGCCAGAGGCCTGGAGGAGGTAGGAAGTGTCTCTTGCCCTGGTGCTTGGGAGGTCGCTTTTGGTACTGAAATGGGGATACTTTGGGAGGGGAAACATCATTGCTCTCGAGTTGTCTGCTCAAGAGAGGGCAGCACAAGAAACCTTTGGGGAATCTAATCACTAATTTTACTGCCACAAAATGACTGAATTACATAACTCATGCTCTAATAACAAGGATACCAGCCCAAGATTTGTCTGACATTTAAGTATTTGCAGCTGCTGCTGGTCTTCACATGCAGGGGTTTTGAAAACTCTTCTGGTGCTGCTGAATACTGGGAACAAGAGTCCTACGGGGGAACTAATGGTCAGCAGGTCTGTCATCAGATGGAGGTGCTCATCTTCTATGTGAAGCTGAGTTGGGTTTGGCAAGAGAAGGGGAGGTGCAGGGATCTGTAATGTGATATGTGGTCTTTCACCCCGGGCTAATTCCTCAACTGGAACTGGGGCTGGAAATAGCTGAATTACTATTAGCGGCCAGAGGTTTGCTCGGTGTGAGATAATTGCAGGGTCCGTTCCAGTTCCTACTGCGTAAGTCCACATCTAATACCACTGTCACAGCACTCCCTGACTGACAGCTCTGTTGGCAATTTCCACTTACACCCTGTGGAAACCAATTTTGTTTTCTGCAAAGGACTGTTTGAGGACATCACACAGAAATAAATTCTTGCAAATACTTGAGAGCAAAGTACCAAAATTTTGAAAAAAGAGAAAAGTGGCAAAATATGTAAAGAAATATTGTAGCTAACTGAAAATTGTTGATAAACATAAAAGGTCACATGGTTTTGTGGACTATAGGATGTGTCTTGAAACTGAAAGTCGCAGACTTTATACACAAAGCAATAAGTATTGCAAGAAAATGTGAATTTTTTATTATTCAGAAGTTAAGCACATATTTAAGTACTTTGTTGGCTCACAGCCAGAATATTCAGCCTTTTACAGAACTGAGTAAGCCTGCAGACACAGCCCCTGCACCAGTACATACAGCCATTCTAAGTCCCATACCTTGCTGCGATCAAACAAAGAACTCCCTCCATTTTACAGCAGTGCTCAGTAATGTGTAAGTTAAACAAAATTGACAAGCACATTCTTGTGTGCGCTGGAGAAGTCCTGATCATGAATGGAATAGTCATCTGACCCAAACGGAAGGTGTTTACCTCAGTGTCGCTTACAGCTCATCTCTGGTTTACTCTCAGTTGTTTGCTTGGGCCCTGCAAGTAGATCATGGTTTGCTGTCTCCTGAGGTAGGAGAGTTCCATTCTGTGGAACATTAGAGCTATGCATTAGAGCTATGTCACATTTCAATAAAGTCACATAAGCTCCCATAATATATAGTACTCCAGATAGGCAGCACTGTGTGAGATGCAGTACATTTGCAGCTTATGATTAAAATTAAGACTTAATAAGTGTTTATGCTTGGCTGGTGCCCAAAAAAAGAGTAATTTTGTCTTAAAGCAGGTTCAGTCCATAAATAATGAGATCTGAACAGGCATTTATTTGTTCATGATTGCATTTAAATCACCAATTATGAGTTACATGCACTTTTCTTGCCAATTTGCCAGAAACATGTTAAAAGCTTTATTAATGTGAAAAAGAAAAAGGGTGTGTTTCCTTGTGGCCAGTTTTAGCCACCCAGGAACACTATTAACCTCAGGCAAAGGCAAATCTTTCTCCTATTAAGCAAAACCAATATAAACACAGAACTTCAAGTTTTAGGTTACAGTTGTCAAAATATATGAAATAGTATTTATTTCTAAGGCTCAGTTGCCTCTAATGCAGACAGTCTCTGGAGCTGTCAATCTAGCACAGGCAGCAGCTCATGCCTGCCTGCCTTCTACACAAAGCTTTTCTCACTGTGTTTTCCTTTGGTCTTTGCAAGCCCAACTGTAGCTCTTGTACCAGTTCAACCCTTTTGAGTCAAGGTAAAGTGAAGAAGGCTTGGTTTTCTTCTTTTAACCTGTGAATTTATCATAACACACTTACCCTTTCTTATTACGACAAAGTTGCAGTTTCTGTCTTGCCTGGGAGGCCATTAATGCCCTTTGGAGAGCCAGTGATGAAAGACACAAGATGAGGGCAGGTCATCTTCATATTTATAGCGCGTTTCCTGCCCCAGCTAACTTGGTCATTATGTCAATAGCAAGAAAATTTGCCGAGAGAAAAGCATCTTTTGTTAAGACTGTAGCTCCAAAGAACCAGAATTCCCAGATCATCAAACTTTGGTCTGTTCCCAGGTTTGGTCTGCAGACTGGATGGCTCTTGGCTGTAGTCTCTATTCCTCCAATCTGGAGAGCAGTTTCCTGCTCTATTGCTCAGTGCCTTTAGAAAGTGTTCTGTATATTGTGTGCAGTACATTGTGCTCGCAGTCCTAGAGTGCAGCTGGCTTTTGGCAGGCTGGCTGACAGCCTCTAGAAATAGGAAGATGTTCTGGCAAGCTTTGAACTAAAGGTATGGGATTGGAAAGCCATCGCAGCTGCCGTGGTCTTGATTGATGGCTCCCAGAGGAGCCATATTTGTGTAATACCTCATCTCAGATGCTTAAGGAAATTCGCATGACTGGGGCTGTCCGACAGCACTGTCAGGCCCTTGCACAGTCTGAAAGAGCCTAGCGTGGCTGGTGATGTTGGATTTATCAAATGTTTCAAGTCCTTTAATTTTATGACACAATGCCGACCATTGTTTATTTAATTAAAAGAAAAGATCACCTTGGTGATTAAGTATGCATTTGAGAAACAGCAATGTTCCTGGCAGCAAGTATTTGATACCCAAGAGCTTCTATTTCTCCATAGTTCCAGGCTTGAGAACCAGCCCAGAGTTGAGGCACTGCCACATCAATCAAGAGACTCAAAATCTTCCAGTGCCAAACTGGAAAGGCAGACTGCCCTGATCTTGCTGCCATCATCCTGAGGTGGAAATGAGCTACTCTCTTGGCACAGGAAAGACTTGCCCAATGTTTTTAAAAAAAGAATCCAGGAAAAAACCCAAACCAGATCCGTAATTCATTACCAGCCATGCAAGCACCAGTGGAAGCTGCTCTGTAGTGAGAGCAGGTGTTTAACACAGGAGTGTTACGAATACCTGTGTGCCATCCCTGCTCCAGCCTGTGTCAGCTGTGAATTCTGGGGTCAGCAAATAAAAACTCCTCCTTGGATATATTCCTGTATTTCCACACAAGCTCTGTGTTACCATGACAGCACAGAGGAGACAGTGCAAGTGTCCACAGGTGAATACAGCCAAAAATTTAGCAACAGAGATGGAAAAAGGGGAAAGGAAGTAAGGAAGTGTTTTCAGATTAAGCAGTCTGCAGTATTATCTGTTGTGTGCACATGTCATCTACTGTTTGGAAAGAAGACTGTAATACAGATTAAATAGAAGAGTGGAAGAAGAGGATGTGTTCACTCTAGCAGTTTTGTCTGGTCTTTCCTAAAACAATGCACTTTAGATAGCTGTATATTCCCTTGCAGCTCCCACTTAGCGTGCATTCCTCAGTTTCCTCCAGACAGTTTTTACTGGAAGAGCTTATACTAACCTTAATCACCTTAAAAGACTTGTGTTTTTAACAGCAGAATTTTGACCTGGAGCCTGACCAACTCCTCTTGTTTTCTTGATGTCAGGTTCAGGTTTTGGAGCTGCCATCCAAAACGTCAGTCTGTACCTTGAAGCCAGAGGTGGGTGCCAAGCTGGGCATGCCCATGTGTCTGAAGTTATGGCAGGTAAGGCAAGAGCGCCTGCTAATTGTGAAATGTTTCCCCTGTGATTCATTTTATATGAAGCACATGAATCTTTCTTCACTTGGATTTTGATTTATTATCAAACCAATCAAGTAATTATACTATTAAAGGGGGGAAAGATTTGTGAACATCCTTAATGTAACTTTCAGAGCTTTCCAAGCTTTAATGGAAGATTTGCAAATGCTGAGGGAAAGCTTTGTATCCTTAGGATAGATACAGTTTTTGCATCAATCAAGAGGAAAATGAGTGACTTCCCAAAGCCAGTTGTTTGATATGGTTTCTCACTGCATTAAGAATGATGAGAAATGATCGGGTTGCTTAAAAACAGTGATTTTAATGGCAGGTTACATTCACTTCAATGCCCTCGGGACAAGGAAGCACTCTATGAACATTTCTATTCCAGACATACAATAGGAACAAAATATTTGTGGTGGTACTGACTTTGGACAAAAAGGTAAATAAAAGCAGTTAGTGATAAAACCCCCACATTTGCAGAATATTTAGCAAATAATATTTCTGGGGTGCCAACAGTGAACTACAAGTAATACAAAAAGGTGGCAGTAGCGGGAGGAAGGAGTATAGGTGATTGTCTCTAAATCTCCAAAGAATTGGTGGCAAAGCTGATTCTCATTTAACCCCCTGACCACATACTGTTACAGGTCTACAGGACCTTCCAAGCTGATGCCAAGTATGTTATTCCAGCAGGTTCATCATAACATTTGTGTTGGTTTCAGTTGAAAACATTATCAATCGGAATTTGAGGCCTTAGTGTCTCCTCTCAAGGTCTGAACCATCTGAAGTCTAGAGGAATTCAGTTGCTGACTTCAGACAAAAGTAGGAGAGGCCACAGTTCAAGTCCCATGCTGTAATTAAAAACTAGAAAAAAAATAGAAGGAAAATTAAATAGGCTGATTAGGCTTTTATTAAATAGAAAGTTTCTCCTAAAAATGCGATCAGTGTTCGGTGCTCAATGACATGAATGGAGCTTTCTGTCTCCTGGACATTTTTTAATAAGATGGAGATAACTGAGGAAGTGTTCAGTGTTGAAAATGTTGTTGCCTGCATAAGAAGTCCTCTGTCTTGCCATAGTTTCTACATGCATTAATATTGCTATTCCTCTAGGAAGCAGAACAGGTGCAGAGTCTTAATTTTATGTAGTTTTTAATTTTGTTGCCAGTGGGGATAAAGCAGAGGACTGGGAACTGGGAGAGGTAAATTATTCCGTGCAAATTCTGGCTTTGGGAAGTCACCATAACTTCCTGGACTGCACCAGTCAAGGATAGATAATCTCTTACAGTCTCACAGCTGTATTTGCTCTTTTATAAATGTGTGCAACTCGGTTTAAAAGCACGGGGAAGAGGCTACCCTTAAGGGCAGATAATTACATGTGGTGTACCAAAGGGATGCTCTGATTTTGTTCTGTGGTTGCACTGGAAGTGGCTCACTGAGTAACCCTGTAACCATGAAAGCCATAAATGAGAACACGAGCTAACGCAGCTGCACCTCTTCCTGAACAGAGGCCGTCCAGGATTCCTTTGTACACGACTGTATTGGGCAATACAGACATACCCAGGAGATGAGCACTCCCCAACCCAGCGCTCGTGGGCAATGGGTTGCCTAAGAGACTATTTGGTATTGCTTATGGCACAGTAAATTAACAAGTTGAAACAGAAGCTGACAGGGAGAGAGAGCCATCACGGTCTGAAGGACGTATGCTCGGGGTGGTTGTCCAACAAGCGTTTGGGAGCTGCAACCATGTACCATCATATTTTCCTGTGTGCCAGTAAACAAAGATCTGTGATTCAGGGACATGACAGAGCTCACCAGCAGCACTTGAGTGAGAAACTTTTACCATAGAGCAGAAGGCAACTGAGGCTTAGGTTAGGCTTGTAGATTAAGCCTCGCTGGCTTCTCCTAAGCAGTCAAAAAGCTTCCAGCTGTCGATTTTGTTGGGTTTTGAGTGCTTTTTCCCCTTATTTTTCTAGGTCTTTCCTTAAACATATTAGTTCATTCAATAGAGTTTTTTTCTTGTGAAGATTCGTGTTCTTAAATACAGTGTCCCTTCAGTTTCACACCTTCCTGCTATTACTAATTGGGTGGAGTAGGATTTGCTGGAGTAAGGATAGTCTTCCCTTAAATTTTTTGCACTCCTTGGGGAAGGCATCATGTTGCGTAATAAATGGTGCAAACAAAATAATTCAACAAGAATAATACATGTCGAAACTGGAAATGCCGAGTTATTACTTTATATAAACTATAGCAATTATTCCTGTTGAGCTGACAGCAGATCACCTTTTCTTCCTTCCTTGACTGTTATCCAAGTGCAACAACAAAATGTTCTGCTTAGGAAGAGCAGTGATTTATAATTTAATTTTTCGACTGAAACAGAACATGAATGGTGAGACTTCGCTCCAGCAGTGTCCGTTACTGTAACCGAAATAAATTGGCTGTTGTGAATCACTGCTTGGTGAATCCAGGCCTCAGACTGAGAGCTCCCTAGTCTTTCAATAGCTTTTATTGTTCCGTTCACACACTCATTGAACTATTACACTTCTTATGTTAGGAAAGTCAGGAAGGAGGAGTGTGGGAGACCTTCCTACAGTACTTGGGTTTTAAGTAGACCAATCTTAGATCTCACTTGTAAATTACTGGTTTTCAAATCTAAGCTGAGATACCCACAGCAAAAGGAAAAAGAAAACAAAACCAAAACCCAAAAGGTTTTGCTTGGCATTTCCCAAAATGCTGAGCACTCACCTGTCTTTCCCGTCTGCATGAGGGTTATGAGCTCCTATGAAAGCTGACTATCCCATTTGGAGTAAGGAGAGGACTTGTGCTCATAGAAGAGCAACACAAATAATTGTGGGGGGTTTTATGTTCAAACTGATTTATTTTTTAACTTAACAGTACCTATGAAATACTTTGTTTGGCTTTGAAGATTTTACCCTTTATTGGCCATAAATAAAATCTGGAATGGTCAGCTTCTCCCTGGCATCAAAACTGAGATACTCTTCATCCAAAATACTCGATGAGTTAGCATTAATTCACATGTATTTGACATATTTTCATTGCTCTGGTATTTTAGCAAATTAAAGTGGTGTCAGAAAATTGTTGGCGGTTCTGAGCACTATGAGAGACCTGCTTTGGGGCCTTTCTAGCCAGAGCATGCTCCCTACCTTTTCAAAGGAAAAGGGATCTTAAAGGAAGGAAGAAGGCTCCTGCAGGATCCCAGGTGTGGACAGACCTGTTCAGAAGGGTGGTGTAGGGGATTTCCTACCTTTCCAAGGATTTCCCCTTGGTTTCTTTCTTTTAAGGGACAATGTGACTTCCCTGCTCAGTGAGATCCATTCTCATTCAAACCCTTCTCTAGGATGAATAAGGCTGAGGAAGCACATGAGGCTGTTTCTCAGCAATGTTACCCAGACCACCCATCTCTTGTTAGTTTAACTCCCCCCCCAGGCAAATCACAACCAGTGGAAGAACAGTCTGGACCATTAACAGAGGCCGTGAGCCTTTGGCCACTGCAGGTTTGTATCGTGACATTGACAGCCAGCGAGTTTGACCTCATTCAATAATGTGATCGAAGTAAAAATTGATTCTTTATAGATGCCCTTTAGCTTTATTTTGAATTGAATACCAAGCAAACAAATCCTGCAGGAGCAGACAGTGTTTGGAAAGATCTGAAGAGCCTATTGGATACATTTCTTAGATGTGCCTACATGAGGTGATCATAATCCCAGTGTCTACTTTGGTGTTTCTTCCCCTATTAAAGAAACAACTGGCACTAACAGATGCCTCTTTTTTAGTTGCTTTTCATTAGTCTTTTGGCTGAGCAATGATGAATATTTTCCTTAAGTGTGACATGTAATCCAGTAATGTTCCCTTCTTTGAGTTATTTCAGAGGCTTAAATAAATTAGGTGTCTGCCCAGGGTGCCATGCCCTTTGGCCTGTGACATCATTAATCAAAAGAGCTTTCAATTGGTTACAGTGGGACTCGGGCGCCCATTAACCCCTTGGTGACTCACGCAGAGATTCCAACGGGAGGTTCAGTGTTTACCTTCAAGCACTGCAGTGCACTTGGGTACATGATCCCTCTGTGTAACCCTACACTTGGCAGTGTGGAACTGGAATCCTTAAGCATGGCACTTCTGTCAATGCCCACATGGGCTTGTATTGCTTGATAATAACTCAGTTGCTCTACGTAATTTTTTTTAAGAGCCACAAAGTTCAGGCCGTGAAGTAAAGCTCCTGAAAACTTCAGGCACCTATAGGTATTGTAGAGGGCAATAGTTTGGTTTTTCAGTGATAAATTCTCTACATTTCTGTGTGTGTATATATATGTGTGTGTGTGTGTGTGTTAGATATGTATATAAAATTTAGAATTTGATATGTAGATACAAACCCCATTAGTGCATATTTCCCGGTAACACTTTCTGTAAGTTGATGGACTATCAAAAATCGATATTCAGACTTCTAAACTTTTCCTTTCTACACCAGGCACCATTTAAATTTACTCTCTTGTTGCTTGGACTGAAACCTACCTGGGGATGGTAATTTTCCCAACAGGCTATTTAATTCTCAAACAATTTTACTTTTTCCTCAATCAGCTCAACAGTGGTTCACAACCTTTGCTTCTGGCTGGCTATGAAGATGGATCAGTGGTCCTCTGGAACGTGTCAATGGGAAAAGTGTTGAGCCAACTCATTTGCCACCAGGAGCCAGTGATGAGCCTTGACTTTGACTCAGAGAAGGCCAGGGGGATCTCGGGCTCATCTGAAAAGGTGCTTAGCATCTGGAGCCTCAATGAGCAACAGAACCTCCAGGTCAGGATCATTGGCCCTCTCGTGTCATTTATCCCACTTTGCACTAACAGTTTGATAGACTAAAAAAATATTTAGTCATGAAGAGGAGTTGTTGCAGATCTCTAGCTAATTAATCACAGACTGGTTAGAATGTCTGTGCTATGTGCCTAGACTTAGCAAAAGATGGTGAGGATTTAAAAAAAAAAAAGAAAAACCCTCTCTCACATGTTTCTGGTTTTACCAAAGTTGCAACAGGCACACAGGCCTAGCATTACTCAAGCCATTGCCTCTGTATCTTCATTTATCACGTTGGTAGTATCCAGCTCTCAGAATGTCCTAAACGTTATAAATGAGTTTAAAAAATGAGAAACAAAGGATTGCTTTTCCAAAGGTTCTGCTTGAATGGCTAGAGCTCTTTCCACTGTGGGAAAGACAGAAGTATTCCATGAAATACTTCATCAACAAAAAGAGTAGGAGTAGCCCAGCTAACACCAAGAGGATGTGAGGTTTAGGCAACCAGCTCCCTCTGGCACCTACAGAGCCCAGCCAGAGCCAGAGGCAATCAGGTAATTGGCTGTACCGGTTTGTGTCCAAGCTCCACATACCTGGAGTGGCTGGTTCAGAAGGAGGTTGTGTAATCACCAGTTCAGGCTGTGCTAGTGAATGGCAATAACTATTGCTTTAATCTAGACAACTTTAGCAAGTGTCCCAACAGTGCCAAGGGGTTAAGTAGGATTTAACTAGGTGAAGAAATGAAGTGCATAAATAAATGATCATGAAAATTAAAATGGCCCCTGCATAGCCTCTCCACTGCTGAGTGCTTTGACCTTTCTAGAGTGGCAGGTGTCCCCTGAACACACAATGGAGAGGAGCTGAACCAGCCGCTGTGTGCCCGTGTCATCCCTGAGAAGAGAACTGCTGGATACACCAGTTCATGGGAGAGCAATAATAGCTGTTCCAGCTTGCAGCTTTTATGGAGATTTTTTTTAGGTAGTGTAGCGTGTTAATGCTGTTTTCTGGATAGTGCTACAGGAAGAAAAGCAAGTGCTGAGACATCCAGTGGTGACTCGTCACCTGGGGGACACTGTAAAGGTGTGAGCTCTGCTAGGCATCACCACAGAACCAGCACTTATGGAGTGGCAGGGGACTAAGACCTCCTTGCATGTAGTGCAAACACATCCAACCAAGGTGCAGTTTGGAGGACACAGCACCCACCAGGAGAGCCTGAACTTTAATAACCAATACAGCATGAAGTGAAAGAGGTACTCGAGACTCTGAACAAGTAGTGAAGGTGGTGTAAGCCACAAGTCTGATACACAGTTGTCCTGGTTTGGGTTTGTTGGTTTTCTTGGTCATGTTTGCCCTCCCCCTGCCCAGTCTTTCACCATTGGCACCACCTGCACCAGGTATTCTCAGCTCAGGGAAGAGGAAGGAAGGTGAGCAATCCCAGTAAGAAACCTGGTATTAAGACTAGTTCTCTAAGGCCAAGGTGTCAGTAATCTGAGACCACGACAGGCTTCTTAAATCTTCACATACTCTGACGGTGGAGAGAAAGATGTTCCTTCATATTAATTATAGCATAACTTTTTCCTAAATTCGGAGAAAATACTGTTCTTCACAGCACATTTCAGTTACAAGTTAACCATAGTGCAGGGCTATGGGTACGACTCATGGGAGAAACAGCTGTTCACCTGAAATATTCCAGGTATTGTTTTTCACAAGGTATTCACATTCCCAGGAGATCTAGGATTAGCTGCACCTTCAGCACCTCACACTGAGAGATAGTGGCTTTTCTCAGAAGGTATTTAAATGCCAAGTGTTACAAGCTACAAGCAATGTTCCTGTGCTTCATGCGAGTATGAATGCCCTAATAAAATGCATCTTTCATATGAGCACTAGAGATTGTCAAGGACATAGATTAAGTTTTTTTCCACTGTTGCATTAATAATATAAACCAGATGGGGATTTTTTTTCCCTGACATTCCAGGTACCTGAGGTAATGGTAGACGTTGGAAAGCCACTCAGTGGCACATTATTTTTATTCTAAAAGGTTTAATAAGTAAACGTGGTGCACAGCTATCTGCCGTTGGAGAAATAATGATGCAATGATGGTACTTCAGCTCTGTTTTAAGTGGCAACGTTCCAGTGTGTCAATGAAGAGATGATGAAGGTAACTGCACAGTTTATTGCTATGAGGAAAGTTTGGTGTATTGTCTTCTACAGGAAAGTTGCTGAAATCATCACTGTCAGCAGATGATGGGATTGGTTATAAGCCTTCTGATTTGGATGAGATAGTGCAATTATGTGATGATGTTTGTGATAGAATGTAGGAGGTAAACAGCTTCTGCAGGTGAATAAACAAAGCAGAAACAAAAAAATCTGATAACCACAGAAGCTCCTTTATGTATGGTGAGAAAAAATATTCTGTAAGCTGTAATGTAAGTTTCTGTTGGTGTGGTTGATGAGGCTTTTCCCCCAAGAAGCTTAGGCTGCTGCTATCTTGGCTATTTTTCTAATAAGCAGAAGGCTTAAAGACATGATTTAGGTGTAGATGCAAGTGTCCTTGGTCATGACTGGCTGAAAGCAGCTCACCTGTTTTTACCTCTTTGTTTTCTTAATTACAAGCTGGTTTTCTGGTTAGGAGATTATGTTGGTATGCATTTGACTACTGTATTCAGTGACTTACTGTAGGAAGTGGCTGGATGGCACAAATCCTGGCACTAGGATTTCACCTGGCTGCATATACCTTGAGCAAGTTGTTCTTCTTTGTTTTGCTTTTCTCTCTCACTCTCGTATTTGCAGATCATGCACAAATGCCCACTGTTCCCTCATGTTCCATAGCCAAAAGGCATCACCATTATAGGCTTCATTTTCAAGTTGTAGCTTGCTGATGACATGCAATTTCTCCCAGTTGCCCTGATTTTGCTGTATGGATCTTGCCCACATAATTGACAGTAATGATGGGAGCACCACGCCCGGGATTGGTTATAGCCATTAGCTAATAATCTCAGTCAGGGAGCAAGGCCCAGTTTACATTTGCCAGGTTAGTGATGTAAATCATAAATCCTGCCCTTGCCAGGACACTTATGCCAACAAAAACCCCACTGGGGCCATGCTGCATTAGCCTAACCTGGGGAGTTTGGAACATAAGTACTAATAAAAATCTCAGGCTTTACAGTAGCAGCCCCACAAAAAGGCTCCCGTACAGCCTCCTACTGCTCATTGGGGTTGAGCAAAACTTGCTGTCCTCTATTCTGAATTGGGTGTAGACACATTCTTCAGGTCCTGTTTAAAAGAGGAATGTATGGAGCGTATAAGAAGCATGTCAAGTTTCATTTAGCCTTTTTTTCTTATCAAACTGCACAGCTCTTGCAGTTTGAGTGTGTAGCCAGGCAGTTGTTACAGGGCTGAAAAACAATTGCTTATGGCTTGTGCCTGTAAGATTCCAAGATGTGTTCAGCTGCATCTGAAACCAACTTTGACCAACATTTCTGGAGTTTTCTACATTCAGTATAAAAGTTAAAAATATCTGCAATTAATATATCTTTATAATCCTGTACTAACTGTGCCTCATGGCACATCCTTCAAGGAGGGAAGCTGCTCAGTTATAAGGTGCCTGACAGTCCCTTCCCACCTCAAGACAGACAGCAAACACCACACTGGATGATATTATGCTTTGGTACAAGATAGCTACAGACTCAGGCTTAAGTAGAGAGTGGCATTAACATGTTGTTTCCAACTGTGCTTATAAATAACAGCACTTCAGGGCCAGCACACACTCCTAAGGTGTTTTTGCTGTTGTGATAGAAGCTGGGCTGTTCTAATGTGTGCACACATCTGGGTGTATATTCTGTGTGTGTCTGAGAGGCAGACTGCTCACCAATGCAAGTTGCCTGAGGTGAGAACAGCAGAAGCATTTGAGCTTTTTCTCTGTGGTTCCAGAAAAGCTCATGTCCGTGAACACTTTTCTTTCCAAGAGCTAAGTCCTGTGCAGCCCCCGTGTCTCCTGAATGCCAAATGCCTTCTGATTTGTGCCCCTCTGAAACTTGTGCCCCAGTAGTCTCCAAACAGTAACAAAAGGCTTCCAAGATTGAAATCAATAACTTGGTCATAATCCCCTTCTTGGAATTCGGTGTAAATAAAAGTCTCTTGGGAAGGGGTACTAGAAATACAGATTTCCTGACACTGTAACCCAATTCCTGGAAGCATTCCTTTCTCAGGACTGAGGTAAATGCTAGAACAGCTTATTGGGGGTTCCATGAGGGGCCACAGTAGTAGAAATGAGTAGCAGGTAGTTTAAACATCAGCTCAGAATCTCAGCCTGGGAATATGGCAGAAGCAGGGAAAATACATGTCTGTAGCTCTGAACATTGTAGCTCATGCAAGAAGAAAAGGGCTAAGCTGTGTATGCTGATGCACAAAACCTTGACTGAGAGTTTCACTTGTGACAGAATAGAAATTGCTTTAACTGCAAAATAAACTAAAAACATATAAGGAGTGTGTTTATTTTTAGAGAATGGTGCTGGAGATAGTCAGGCTGCAGTTAAGATCTTTTCCATCTCTGTCAATAGTTATTGTCACTAAGGCACTGTCCACCACGTGGTGCAAAGTCCCTGTGTGATGCCAGGGTGTATGGGTGGGCACTGCACCTGTGAAAGCTCCCAGAGATTCCTTTTTCTTCTCATCTGTAGAGCTCATCTCTAACTTTCTCACACAGGTTTACAAAACACAGGAACTTGTCAATGCTGGCATAGCTGATATCACCATCCGCCCGGACAAGAAGATTTTAGCAACAGCAGGGTGGGATCATCGCATCAGGATCTTTGGCTGGAAAAAACTGAAGCCCTTAGCAGTGCTGGACTATCACACTGCAACTGTCCATTGTGTGTCCTTCTCGGATCACACAAACCCCCGGGAGAGACTGCTGGCAGCTGGCTCGAAAGATCACCGCATCAGTGTCTGGTCAATATATACTCAGACATGACACATTCTGCACTGCCGGGGACTCGGAAAACCGGATTGGTGAAGCAATTCCTGACATTGTAATTCAAACCTGGATGTGGGGAACTAGTAGAATCTGTCTTCAGGCTGAAGTGAGAGTCCTAGGTTAATTCTTATGCTGCTTGTTTAAGAGGCGAGTTTTGTTTTCCAGAGAGGGAAGTGGATTTTAAAAATTTGTAACAAGCAGAGCAAGGCCAGTCACAAAGACACAGAACAAGTCACTTCGGGTTCTGCTACAGGTTTTGCAACAGCTTCTCTCTGGCAGGTTGCTGAAGTAACTTGTGCCAATATCTTTTGTGAAAAAGGACTGGAGCCCCTCAGACTGCGGTGGGGGCAGAATATGGCAGTTTGTAAGTCATTTATGTATCCAAGAATCTGGATCAGTGTAAAATATCACTCCTTGAAAATTTATACCCATTAAACCACCTCCAGTGATTTCTCATTGTCAGTTACTTTTTCTTCCCCGTAGCTGAGAGGCTATCAGGACAACCTTGATTTGTTCACACTTCTGTCAGTTTCTAACTTAAACCAACAGCCAGGAATGTGACTAGGGACGGCCTTTGGCATTTATGAATTTCATTATGTCTCCTGTCACCTCAAGCCTCACAATTAATCACAAGAAAGAAAGGGAAAAAAATCTTCCCTTGCACTGCACTGCAAAGCTATGTAAAGCCTTTTACAGAGCCAGTGCTAAATCCTTTCCATGGACTGACTAGCTGAAGGATTTAAACTCAGCTATCCAATTAACGCCCTTCTCCTTGGAGAGTTAGGGCTAAGTTTCAGCATGGCAAGTCTGGGATTCAGCTACACAACTCCCATTAACATTTTGGGGAATTGCATGGTTAAATCCTTATCCACACAGTGCAAATAGCTCCATTAACTTGTCATCTCTACAGTTGGGGAAGCCGAATTTCATTCATGAAGGGTTTTTTGTTTGAATCATGAAGCAGAATTTGCATTCTGCTAAAGCATGTTAGGCACCCCCAGCCTACCCAGAGCCATCATACTGCTGGATTTGGGCACAAAGCTGCAGTTACAACTGTGTCCAGGCTCTGCATTGTTGATACATTTTTGGAAGTAATTGTTTCTGCTGTTTAGAGAGCTGGAAATCAAATAAAAAGTCACCAAAAGTGTAGTGAACAGCAACATCAAAGACTTTAGAAATTATTTCAGAATAAACAAACATGCAAATGAAGGTCTGGGTCTGTTATCCAGCTGTGCTGTGCAGGCAGAGAATACTGCTGGACTGCAAGCCTTCAGCACCCAGCCTGATGTGCCTGCCATTGAACACAGAGTCAAGATACTGCTGCCAAGCTTTCCTAAATAAAATGTGGCCTTACACATTTTGGAGTGTGATGACACTTTAAATAATGCATTTCTTTGATTATTTCTTTACTATTCAGTAGCGGCATGGAGGATCACATTGCAGCTGAAAGTTAAAGCCTAATTTTGAGTGATCCCGAGTCAAGGGGAGGTGATGGTGTTCATTACATCTACCAGACAGAGTTGCACGGAGTAAGTGCTCCATCTCCACCCATCATCCACCTCCCACACAGAGGAGGAGCTACCCCCACTGGATGAGAGGCTCCAGCTACAGCTTACGGAATCAGACAGGGTCCTTCTCCACAAACCTGCTGCTGGAAGAAACCTTTCCTTTTATTCTTTTTCCCCTTTCTTAAATAGGTCATAATTGACATAACAAAACAACAAAATAAATAAATAGAGAAGACACTGCTGTGTGTGGTCCAGGGACCCTTCTAGGGAGTCTGCAAGGAGCTTTCCTTCTGGCTGTCCCCTCTGGTACTACACCAGGTGGCCTGGAAAGTGCTAGCCTTCTTCTTCTCCATGGCAGCAAACAGCAGCCTGCACTGCTGGGCAATTGCCATGGAAGTGATCTGTAGGTTTAATGCTCTTCCAGCAGAAAAGGAAATCTAGGGCTCACCTCGTATATTATTTTCTCTGAAAAATGCCATTTACTGTCACCATCTGTGTCTAAAGTGATTATGAAGGCTCATAAGGGATGTTTAGATTGAGGAATAGGTCTTTTGGAAGATGCTCAAAGGATTACGATGTGCAGTCACATCTAACTTACTGCCCTGTGCTGGGAGTTACATGTTTATGTTTGTCTAATTAGGTAGATTTAAAAATAAACTTAGTCATGCAAGTACCAATTGAAAATGCGGGCGTGAACTGCACCTCACTAGCGGGCAGACACAGGGGGAAAGGGTTCCATCAGCTTCAAGGGGAAGAACACAGGTTGCAGAGTTGCTTGCAAGAACAGACCCATCCTATATTTCCCATTACCGAAGCACTATCCATGTCATACTTTTACACATTAACACTTTACATCACTTGTGATTTTATTTAAACACTCAAGAAACAGATTTTTCTTTCACATTATAATTATCTTGAAATGAGCAACCAGATTACCTTTGTTTGATTCAGAGTTGAGCCTGAATGCCATAGTTTGATTGTGAATTGCAGTCGAGTAAGATTATTTGCTTAAGGAACTAACCTGGACTTCTCCAAAGAATGTTTGCCAATAGGAAGGACAGTGTATATTGCTACAGACTGTAAAACACAGTTGTCTGTAACTATCACTGTTAAATACAGTGTCTGATTGTGTGTAGGAAATTAGCAATTCTTTTTTCGTGGAAAAAAGATAATTTAAAGCTCTTTACAACTGTGCCATGAACACAGTTATCACTCAAGAGTTCAGCTGACTTGCTATCATGAAGGTTATGAGTGAAGAGCCACCTTAAGCTGCTGGAGTTAGCTCTGGAATCTCACCTGCCAGAGAGGAACAGGGCTAGCCTGTACCTGGCCTAAAGGATTCAGGAGTGAAGGTGATGACAGCTAAATTATTACAAAAGGCTTCCTCCCAAGAATCACTGTCTTTGGCACTGCGAGAGGGAAGAAAGCAACGGCATTCGTAAACTAATAGAAATAAATCCCAAACACTAGCATTTGTGCAGCAATTACATGGAATATTTATCACCACGGGAATGAATGGTGATCTCTGACCCTCTAACATTTTTTTGCAAATGAATCCATTAGTTACAACCCCTTTCTCTTATCAGTACATGAGCCATGAAGCATTGCAGCCCCGAGTGTAGATGAGCAAGGAAAGAGGAGATTAATTGTTTGTAGTAATGAGTGAAAAAGGAAGCAGGCTGGGGGTCTGCAATGAGGCAGTTGTTAAATTTAGCCTTGTACAATGCAATCACTTCAGGAAGCCAATAAATTACTCTCTACATCTTGACTTGGATTGTTGCAGAGGTTTGAGTCTAAAAGAGCAGATTTTTGTAGTTAAGTCAATACTGGCTTCTGGACTGCTTTTGTTTTTAGCACATTTCAGATGCATCTATGAAGCCAACTTACAAATTAATAAATCTTTCCTTTAATTCAGTCTGCCAAGAACAAAGATAGAACACTGACTACTGCAGGAGCCATGTTAGTGATGTAAACCAAAGGACTGGGGATTAAACAAGGATTACCGAGCGCTAAATCAATGTGTTTCCTTTTCTGGCTGTGTGTCTGTGGTGTGAAAGTATGGATCATTACATAAAACATGGCACATGACTGCCTGGATTAATACTAGACAATGTTACAGCAATGCTGAGACACAACGTTTGATGTTCCAGCATGACCAGTGTGCTACCAGGAGAGCATGATGACTGAGGTGATGACTAAGGAGGAAGGCATGGGGGTTTCTGTTGCTTCGTAGTATTCTGAAATTCCAGCCTGGGTCCCCCTACTAGAGTAGTTTTTCCAAGTAAACTTGGCTGTGTTTATCCATGTCCTACTCTTCTGGGGCATGACGGAAGTTTCTTTTATAATGTGAAGAAAACTATCCAGAGTTAAGATCATACTGGGGTTTTTGGCAATTAATTTAAGGCTCTCACAGCACGAAATTAAATGAAAACATAATCTTTCAGTTGTGAAAGTTTTGCTCACCTGATTGATGGTATGAACTCTATCCGTATGTCCTATCAGCAGTGCTGTGTACTGCTTTATTCTGATTTACCTCAGAGGAATTTGACTTGCAGTTTGGTATTGTAAGAGGAGCAGAAAGTTTATTAAGGGGGTAAATCAAACCAAAGCAGCCGTTGGCCCCTCTGAGTTAGGTGATATGAAGATTCTGTAAAGCTGGAAGGACCTTGAAGCAAACCACCTCAAGCAAGGGGCCAGATTCCATATGGGAAAAGGACAAGGATGGCAGGAAGAGGACCTAGTGGAGCCATACAGTGATAGGTCTGTCTTTTTAAACTCATACACCAGCCCATTTCAGTTTCAGAACTATTTGCTTTTACTTCTTCAGCATCCTTTTTTAAAGGTGTTGCAACACTAGGAAATCCTGTAAGCCACAATCTGCACCTGTAAATAAGCCTGTGCTCACCCAGAGCAGTGTGTATGTATTTCTCTGTGATGAAGAGTTGTCACGGCCAAAGTTGCAGTGCCATAAGGGATAACAGCAGGAGGGACTGGGATCCTGCTGCAGCCACATGCACTGCACAAGAACCATCCCAGAGCAGTACTATCTCCTTACAGGGGAGTGACATGGCAATGACAAAAATATGAATTTCTGTTACAATTTGAAGTTCTAATAATATTTTTTATAAAAGAAGCAAAAAGAGCTGTTACATTATCTTGAGATTACAGCTAGATGCTGTTTCCTCATAGTTTTTATTCCCATTATACATGAATTAGGGCAGCAAAAACCTATAGAAATCCTTTGGCACTTTCTGGACAGCAATGAGGTCTTTCCCACCAGCAGCCGGTTTGATTGATCCTGATTATGTCCAAATCAGGGAATCTAGGGAGGATGCTAAAATGCTGAGCCATTATCCTGCCCCACAGCTCTGGCATCTCATGCATGCAAAAGTACGTTCTCCAGGCACCCATGGCACTGCTTGCTATAGACACATTCTGACACAGGTAAGAACAAGGTGGGTGCACTGGGCCTACACCTTAAATGTGGCAGAGAACGTGGCAGTGGCATTTGTCTTGATGGTCACTTAAAAAATTGCTGCTATGAAATCTCAGCGATTCATGGATGCATTGTCTGTGTTCATGGAAAAGCATCCAGGCTGCTCTTAACATAACACTTATGGCAAGTATTGTCTGTTCAGATCTTTTTGCCTCAGATATTTTGATGGCATGCAGACTTGGCATCCTGCTAAATAGAGACATTGAGTCTTTATAGTTTTATCTCTTGAGCCCATCTGGTTTGAAGCAGTTGACAACAAGCAGGAAAGGGAATAGAATGAAAGACTCACTTCATGTTTGCTGAAATAAAAGAAATGTGTAAGGCAATGCTCAAATAAAGCCAGGCTGGGAGGAAGGCTGGGACACTTGCCTCTCACCACGCTTCCCCTGCCCTGTTCAGATGATTGGAGTGGGACAGCCCCTCCACTCTCAGCGCCAGTTCCTCTGCCCGTGGTCAGAGCTCACAGCCCAGCCCAAAGGCAGTGGCAGCAGGCTGGAGCTTTGAGGGAGAAGGGGAACCCTCTGTCCCCCTGGAACGAGGGACAGTGGGAGCACAAAGCAAACGGAGTAAATGGGCAAACGCAAATGCAGAGTCCCTGTCCGTCAGCCACGCTGAAACCTTTGACAAAACTATCAGTCCAAACACCTCACACAAAGGTGCTTTTGTAAGTTTACGTGTTGTTTATTGCGGATTTAACTTCCTTTTTGGAATTTACAGACACAGCCCAAGGATGTCAGTCCGAGTCCCTGAGCACCTGTGCAGTCACCCCTATGGCAGGCAGGTACAGAGCACAGCAACAGCACCCAGGGACACACTGCTGGGTCAGGTACCAGAACTGCCCCCAGGGAGGAGGAGAACACTGGGGGAAAACAGCATTTTCTCCACCTACCAATAACCACTAAGAGCTGTTCACAGAGGTGTCACATAATTCTGTACCTAGAGCTCAGGTTGGAGTGGCCATTGCAGGGCACTTGATCTTGC